AGTAAATAAATTTAAGTTAAATGAATATAAATAGATCGAGCAAATAATCTTACAATTAATGCATGAATGCTTATTGGAGAGGTTGTGAAATATCTGAAACCTATCTTGTCTCAGAGAAGAAGACACGAAATCTCGAGAAGAGCAATGGCATATTCGCATATTCGAAATTTAAAATACACAAGTCAATGTTTGTTACAAGGGGTGCGCGATAGACTTACCTCCACGTAGTGCAATCTGGGCAACGTATATTCATACGGCGAAAAATTCTATAAACGGACAGTTGACTTTTGAATTAAAACTACCATCACCCCACTGTATGTCGTATTCGACTACTTCCACAGTACTCACCTCGTCTTTTTTCTACATTTATGTCTGCCTCTTTTTCATCTTTGAAACACTCTTCTGTTCCCCCTCTCGACCTTTTCTCACTTTGATGTTCCTTCAAATCTATGAAGCCTGAAGTGAACTAAAAAGTTAATGGTAATGATCAAAACGCATGTCATTTGATATAAATAAATAAATAAATAAATGTTTGTTACAATGTCACTCAGGCATTCTTTCTTATCTAAACTTCCTTCACAATTATATTTAATTATCTGACGAAATAGGATTGATAATTCAAACTTAATGGATTTTCTTATAAGAATACTTGCGAAAGTAAACATTCAAATTTCGTATAATTGGAATCATAATTCGGTAAAGGTGTTCACACTAACGTCATTTTGTATTGCAATATACTGTAATCGTCAATTATTTTCGCGAATATAAAATTAACGCAACGTAATTTTTTTCTCAACGAAATATTTTCTTATTTTTACAATGTATTTAAGTTTACTAATGGTGAAGCGCAAAAGTTCAATATTTTTACGGTCAGCTGATCTTTATTTCTAATATCAGTTCCTGAACCCCCGTAAAAAGATAACTTTTATCACCCTTTATTGTTTCTTAAATTAACTTTTTACGAAAATTGACGAATTTAAGCATATTTTCTTCCATTTTGATTAAGTATTAACATTAACGCAGCCTGCAAGCCCTATGATCCCATGTTACTTTCATTACCCATTTTTCACCATCTTGTTCAGTTGATTGAACGATAGCTCGTACTTCAATTATTTACATCAATTTTCTGCTAAGTTAACATGCTGACATTATCGTTTTAGTTTCTTAATGTCTTATGGAAAAAACATCACAGATATTTTTGTTATATTATATCTACTTTTCTTCTTATGGAGACATTTATTCTAACATATTATATCTAATTTTTATTCTCTCAGACCTTAAAAATGCAACAAACTTATTCTGTCTCGGTGGAGAAATATAGTGAAAAAAACTTGATGGAGAGTTTTCGCGATATTCTTACTGATTGTCTTCCTAATACTTCACCAATTCCGGATGTATCACAGGAACTCGTTATTTGGGCAAAATTTGAAAAGTTATCCGGCCCAGCTATTGATAAAGTTACCTTCCTTCTCGCGATTAGCACTAATCGTGGTTTCTATATCTGGGCCATTTTGGTTAGTTTTATTTAACTGTTAAATTGACGCTAACTTCTTAAGAACAATGGCCAAGCTACTTTACTTCTTTCTCGAGTTGGTCTTTATGCTCTCGCTGCGAAACTTCTAACTCCCCCTCATTGTAAGTCTTGTGTTCGTCTTCGTTCATTATTTAGCTGAATACGTGGACTACATCCAGGAATCGCGTCCAATAGTTGCTATTTGCAGCGAACAAAAGTAAATATGATTTTTACGATTTCATCTCTTCTTTTAGTGTAAATCAATGGAAGGTCTTTTTCACTTCCCTTTTATCTGGTGACATTGTGTCAAATTATACATCTCCTTCCTATATCTCCTCCATGGATGCTAATCGTCGATTTGTATTAATCTATCGAGTGGATTGCGTTTCCGTGCTGTCTGCTCATACCTTACTAGAGCTATTTACAATTGGAAGTAGGTTTTCCTTAAAAATGTCATCCTTCGTATGTTCAGATGTGAAAACTCCCCCCAAATCCTTGTACGTCAATTGTCTTCCGGCTGCTTTGGGTCCTCGTTGGTTAGCCTTTCCGGACACTAGGGTGCGTCGAGAATTTTAAATTACAGAAAATCTTCACTTATAATCTATCTTTTCTTATTCTTAAATATTTTATTAGCCCATTTACCATCATATGTCACGTTGCGGTGATGCCAGTGATGATTCCTCTAAGCCTGTGGCAACGACAGTTCTCAACGTGAATAAAGTTAGTTTCTGCATTCTTAACCAGAATCATTCTATTATTACCTTGCAATTTTCCAAATTTGATGGATTCTATAATTTCCTTTTAATTGTAAATTTCAAATTTTGTAGTCCAAATTGCATATTTATAACGAAACTTCCATCTAGGACTCTAGGTTAAGAAATGTCTGGGGTCAGATAAACAGTTCGTTCTTGAACGAACTTTTATTTATTCGCATAAATGAAAAAAATTCAATAAATGCATGTTATCAAGGAAAGAAGTGTTTTAATAGCGTTAAAAGTTTAATAATTATTTACAAATTCGCCTGCTATCCCCATAATGCCTCTTGGTTCATTAGAAAATCCAGAACTAAATGAATCGTCACTATGTGCCCAAAACACTTCCATTTGAGTGTATATTATGTTTCGTTTTCGCGCTTTGCATCACGTGTTTCCGTGTTATGCAAATAGCCTCCCCCACCCCCCTGCTTACTTCTAGGTTGTATTTCAGGACGCGAAATCAACTCACTAATTATTTTGTCATCTAAATAGCCTAGAAACGTATTAAAAATCAATTCCTAACCTATGCTAAGGGCTAAATTCAATTTCATATGTTGCATGATTTAGTACCGATTTTTCATTAAATAAAATATAATAAAAGTACACCTTTTATCGCTTAACACAAAGAATATCGATATGGAGTTCACCGCACCTTTAATCTAACTTTCTACGTGAATCAAATCAATAAAGCCCTAATTCAACTTTCAATTTTAGGCAGGCCAATAGATTAAGTCTGTTTTACACTCTAGTTAAAGCTCTAATTGAGCTCACCCGTTTGGCAACTTGTGACCAAATATGTGGTTAACCTTACCGCTTCCCTCATGTGGAGATTAAATTTATAATTAAGTTAACTAAAGTCCTAATGATAGTTGATGATTGGCAAGTAAACTGGTTCTATCGTTGAGTAACTTAAAAAATGATGTTTTTTACGTGTCATTAGCGTTTCTGGGGTGGTTTATCAGCCCTGGCTAACACCGTGTCTATGGGTGGAACTAGTAACTACGGCCGTAGCTCTTTACCAGGTGACCATCAGGGTAGTGATTCAACAGACGATACGGCTGAAGGTTCGTCGGCTAGTTACGTCTCTGTTGTGGATTTAGTTCATCTCTCTGAAAACTTCAGCATCTTCGAAAATTATAAATGTCTAACATCACCTGCTTCGCAAGCTGATTCAGATGAAGAACTTCGACAATTGGAAGTAAAACTTCAGCAACAAAGGTGTCTGTTGGGAAGTATTGCAGCAACATCAGTCTATCCAGTTCTGCAACACCCACATGTCTGTTCCACGTTGAAGCAACACCCTTGTCAGCATTGTCAGCAGCGTTTGAGACAGCAACAACAGGAACGCCAGACTTCTCTTAGGCAGAAAAATGTCATGCCTTCAGAGGAATTACTCCTATCTCACAAGAATGCCTCGATTAATGTTCATGACTTCGCTGACAATGGCGCGTTGGTGGCTCATTTCTTGGTAAGTAGTAGTATAGAAATTTAACTTCGCTTGAATAGTTGTCCGATGCTTGCAATCTTTACCTCTTTACTAATTGATAAATTATTGTTGTGTATAATGCGAAATATGCTGCGCAAAGAGAGTATCAGGTGACAGGCTGCAATAACTAGTTGTGCAATATGACGTTAATTTTCTGGAAATCTGTTACACGTATATCTCTGATTTATTCTCTACTTTCACCCACTTTAGAAGGCTTAGGTTTTTGTATGTGACGCGAGGTTCGATTTCATCCCTCAATTTAGAGGAATCGAGAATGTTGGAGTTGGGAGTCACTCTGGGTTCTGTTCTCTGGGAAAGTATGGAGTTATCTTATATCAGTTACCAAAAACAACAATTGTTAAGGTTCTCAGACTTCTCTGCTTATAAGGGGTTAGAAATCTGAGGATCGAAATTCATTTGATCCAGATACGTTGGTGGGCAACTGAGAGATCTGAAAATTGTACAAGTGGAATTAGGTGGGACAAATGGGGATTCATTTTTTTACTATTTATTAAAAGTTTTTCTTGTTTATCGTGTTTTTTAACGGACCTTGTTGGGAAACGGGAATTTTTCCCACAGCATAGACCATACTCCAAGTCTACTTTGAACTTTCCATCTGAATTGGAGCTCACTTTTTGGCCTGACATCGAGCGAAGATTCAACCATCTCACGTTATGCTCCTCACTGGAGTTTGTTATTCACAGCTTTATGAGCAATCTTCTTGAATATTAGGATTTTTGATTTCCTAATGGAGATGTTAAAACATTCACGGTTAGATTACGTTCTCCAGTTGCTCAATAAAAATTTGTGATCGACGTGATTAATTTCGTGTTTATACCCAACTGGTTTGTTGGAATGCATATCAAGACATATGTTCAAGTTTCATTTTCCACAAAAAAGAACCAGGCTTGAACTGGAAGTTTCTCTTGATTTCAAGTTGTTTGTGGTGCCTCCTTGACTATATGAACCTTTTTGCCTTGAAATTTGTGAGAGATTAATTGTAGCGTCGTTTTTTTTCCTTAATGACTCCAACGTTGTGTTCAACTTGTCTTTCTTACTTCATGAGCATTTTTTAACTCGTTTAACAGTGCAATATGGTGTGCAATTTATGCTAAAATTTGACGCAACCACACGTCAAACTTCCTCACCTATACACAGTTAACGCAACTTTATTTCTTAAAATTATTTATTTATAACAAATGGCAGGCATTTTGATAGTTTCATTAGCCCTTTAGGTGACTTCAGACCTCACAGAAAAGAAGAAATATCAATGTGGGAAAAATTTCGAGAGGGGGGGGGGAAAGAAGAGTGTTTTAAAGATGTAAAAAGGAGACACAAAGGTAGAAAAAGATGAGGTGAGTACTGTGGAAGTGGTCGAACGTAGAGCAAAGGTGAGGTGAGTACTGTGGAAGGGGTCGAATTTGACATACAGTGGGGTGATGGTAGTTTGAAGTGAGAAGTCGAAGAGAAAAGGTAAGATGAGTACTGTTGAAGTGGTCGAATTTAAGAAAAAAGGTGAGGTGAGTACTGTGAAATGGTCGAATATGGACAAAGGTGAGGTGAGTACTGTAAAAATAGTCGAATATGATATAGAGTGGGGTGATGGTAGTTTGAAGTCAGAAGTCAACTGCCGATCAATAGACTTTTTGCAAGTCAGAAGTCAACTGCCGATCAATAGACTTTTTTGTCTTTGAAGTCAGAAGTCAACTACCGTACAGTGGGGTCATGGTAGTTTGAAGTGAGAAGTCAACTGTACAGTGGGGTGATGGTAGTTTGAAGTCAGAAGTCAACTGCTGGTTTATTGACTTCTTTGCGCATGAGTATACGTTGCCCAGGGTGCACCACGTGGAAGTAAGTCTATCGCACACCCCTATTTCTTAAAATTAATAGTTCCATGACCACTTAATGAAGGTTATGATTCTAAGACTCAAAGGTGCGGAAGCAAATACATCACTTTTATTGAGGAATCAATATCTTTCAATTTTGAGCACTCATGTCCATGACTTTCCTTAATGGACCAATCTTGGCGTCTGCAATCCACAGAATTAGGGTCCCGTCACATACTGTGGCACATAGTCAAGGCCACTTTGGCACATACTTTACTTGTGGGTTTTGTTAAACTACTCTTCCTGTTCGACCTCAACATTAAATCGAGGCAAACGAAGTTTATTGTGTACAAATTCTAACCAAATTGTTTTAAAAAATTTCTTCTAGTTTAAAGTTTCACAAAGGGGGAGGAAATCACAAAGAAGGATCTTAATCACAATCGTCCGATTTATTTCTTCTATTTTCTTCCTCATAGGGCTAGTGATAAATATCATAAAGCCTGCCATTTGAAATAAATAAATTTTCTTCCTCATCCGATGAGTTGTTAAGATTAAGTAGAAATGTGCGTTGACTTACTACGTCTGATTAATTTAATACTTAAACAATGGAACTAGCCTCAAATGATGGCACTTATCCCATCTGAGTGGTTAGTCTCTTTTTCGTTAAGCGCCGTATCTTTTTCGCCGATAGGCTTAGACTACACGCCAAGGTCGTTTCGGCTATTTGTCGCGTGCTCGCGCACGCGCGGGCGAGTCGAATTTACCGCTAAACCTGTCTGTCTACCCGCCCGCCTCTCCAACCTTGTTCAAGGTTATTTAGTGTAGTACACTGCTTGTTTTCAAATAAACGGGGTAAAATTTCATCAAATAGCACTAGTTATTGTTGGCCTAAAGAAGCATGAATAAGGGGAATTCTCTAATTCTCTGAGATCATCGCTATCATTTTTTCTAACCCTAGAGACTTATGCAGACTCCCTCGACATGGTATTAATATTTGATGACCGGAGAGAATATTAAAGCGTGCATGTGGAAAAACTTTAACATACCAAGTGGTTTAAAAGTAATTCCCCCAGTCGTTTAATTCACTTGAGTATGCTCGGTGCTCAGTAATGTCTAGAAATCGCCAGAGCTCGGTGCAAAAACAGCCAAGTGTTCTCCTATAAAAGTCAAGTTTACAGTTTCCAAGTTAGCTCCATGAGCTGTAATACTTCGGCGCAAATCGAATGTCATTTTCATAGGGAGGAAAATGAGTCTTATAAGCTTGGTTACCCACGGAAAGCTGCTGTTCGAGTGATGTTAACAGCCGCTGAAGTTGACGTCTGCTAGGAGTCAGTTTTATTTTATTAAGGGAGCTATGTTCAACCTTAGTGGAGACCATTGCTTGTTCCAAGTTGGGGGGGGGGGGGTTATGGTTCAAGAGGTTTTATCTATGCGTTGTGATTTGTTTTCCATCTATTTTGAACAGAGTATCTATGTGCAAAATATTGAAGTGCACTTGGTCCTACTTAGCATGAAAAGTGCCAATCCATTACTCCGTACTAGCGCGTTTGTTTTCAATACTTGCCTGCTTGCGTGCACGTATGTGTGCAACCAGTTGTCTTGCCTCTTTATGACTTGATCTCGTGATTTCGTGTATGTGTGTGTGTGTGTGTGTGTGATTGTGAATCCAGTTAATGGCCTGGGCGTAACCCACTTTATTTCATGTAAATTACCACTGCACTGTCATATAGTGATATCGCAGGTACATTCGGTTCAAGCAGGTTAAAGTTGCGTGTGCTCTCGCCACTCCCCCACCCCCCCCCCCCCCCCCTCCCACCCTCTAAACCCAAAATTTGACGAAATTTCCGAGTGTCACGTGGCGAGTCTTATTGTTTAGGCGCGCAACCACTTTTGCAACGCGCGCGCGCGCGTTTGCTCTAGATCTAGAAAATGAGCTTAGCGCAGTAGAAGAATTTGTTACGTTGATAAACGCATTCGAGTGGTATGGGAAATAACTCTTTCTCCCAAGCCTGTGGTTAGGAAAATGTTTCTATATCATTCCTTTGTGGTTAGAGGGCTTGAAATTATTGGCACCAATTTGTACTTTGATCATAATTTAAGGACGCTAACCATTCTACTTCAATTTTACGTCCCAGGGTTTCGCATTTGACTACTTGTTTGACCTTGAATTGTAAAGTTAACATTATCCAGAGAAAAGTGCTTTCTGGGGTGGATTTTATTTGCATCATCATGTAAATTATCTTGGAGGGGTTCGATGAATTTAGAGAATTTTGTTGTCTCAAGAAGGTTATCTACCTCTCTTGTAAGCAAGACGTCGCGCTTCTGAATTCTCTTCTCCTAATGCAGTATTTATGAATAAGCTACGATTTCAGTAAAATTTAGGTTAATAATCTAATTTTGTTAGGTCAGAAATCAAGCTGATTGTGACCCCAGATGTAGCATTTTGTATTATCCCGTTAAGATTTCACTACCAATAACACTGTATCTACGACTAGAATTAGGCATACCAACGAATTGAATAAATTGATGACTGAAAGCAAACTCAGCAGGTGCACTGTCGATGGATATGAATATTTATTTATTTATCTATTTCGAAGGACAAGCGTTTTGATGGTTATCATTAGGCCTTAAGCTGACTTTGGGCTTCACAGAGAGGAGGAGGAACATCAAAGTGACCAAAAGTCGAGTGGTGTGGAGAACAAAAGAGTGATTCACAGATGTAAACGAGGCAGATAGACAAAAAGACAGAGTAAAGGTAAGAGGAGTACTGTGGAAAGGGTCTATCGCTCACCCCTGGATATGAATATAATCGAGTGTATAACACTCAGAGATGCGTTAATGGTACTTCATAAATGTTAATAGGTGGCATTCGCTCACGTCATGCAGTTCTTTGTGTAAAAAATGGAATGAAGTCTCTGGAAATGCCCTTCGGTTGATCAATGGCGAATATGGTAAAGCAATTGTACCCATGCTTCGATAAAATATTAGCCCAACCTAACAACAAATAAAGTTCAATTTAGTGAATGGATTATATATATATGGAGAAGCTTGAGGTGAAATAATATGCGTTCAAATTCACTAATCAATCAGGGTGAAAAAATTACTACTCTAACCAGTGGGGTTACCAAATACGTGACACATGTTTCCCTTGAATATAATATAATAATAATAATATAATAT